TCATCATCCTGTGTCTGTGGGGTGTTTTTTTACCAGACACCCTGCAAGTTGTGAACGTTGGACAGCGTTGTCAGACTGTGGTCAGTCTCTGGTGTTGAGCAGGGTTACACGAAGCACCAGGTTGCGACTGCTTCAATTGTCTGCAGACTGCGCTAAAAATAGGTTTCCAGCGTTCAATTGATCTGGCATAGATCCTTCGGGCAGCATTCGTCGCTATTGGTACCTAGGTTAGCCAATGACATGCAACATGTCGGCGAACTCTTGACCTGCCTCAGCACAGCCCCATCAGGCACAACATGTGACCGTCTTTACCGCCACAACGATGCTTCTTCTGGCAGGACCTCACAATGACGCATGTGTCCTGAGGTATTTGTGGATCCTCTGGTCATGAATGTGTGAAGATTACAGTTGGTATGGGGGTTGTTCAGAAGGCCGGTTCCGCAAAGCGGCGTAATTCCTGATTGTGCCCAGACCTGTGAGTGAACTCCGGCCGGGCTTCCGGGATTTCGACGGGACTGCGGAAGGATTTGACGAGGGCTTGAGGTCATGCAGGGTGCTGGGTGACAGCCGCGGCGCGGTGTGTAGATGTGGTAAGGGCTGGCGGAGTGCGTCACAGCCTCCCACAAGAACTCGAGCGAACCCTCAAACAACAAGGCTGCTAGATGTCAAAAGGAATATAGCAAAAGCGAAGAAAACACTGTCGGCCGGTCAGTTCGCGATTTGTTGTTTACACTTTTCTGTGTTTGCACATCTGCGACTCATTGTCTTTATAGCTCAACATGAGCAGAAAACAACAAATCAAGACAAGAATGCTCGTTGATTCCATGCAGATTCCACTTTTTCGCCTGACTATTCACTCATTGGCTTGATGGATGTTGATGGCATACCGGCTGAGCGTACTTGCCCTGTCCACCAATCTTGGGGCTGCACACAGGGTCGAGGCCGCGGAATAACACGAGAAGCAGACAACCGCATCACTGCATGTCTCGCAACTCAAGCCCTACTCCAGCCAACGATGGCCCCTCAACAGTTTTAAGCCCGCCGAAACCCTAAGCTCTTTCTGGGCCCTGTGGCCCTCCGAAGCTGCCCAGAGCTCAAACTGCTCAACAAAATCCGCAAGATGGTTTGGGCAGAAAACAAGTGGCCTCTACAGGCCCTAAAAGGTCTCTCAAAAAGGAGCCGGCCTGCTGAAGCAGTCGAGCACCTGCCGCCGGAGAAAGGTGCGCCTCCCTCTCTCTCTCTCCCTCTCTCTCTCTCTCTTCCTTGCAGTCTCCCTATGTCTCTCGCACTCTCTCTTTCTCTCTCTCTCTCTCTCGCACTCTCTCTCTGTCTCTCTGGTTTTTTGTTGGCTTTTTTTGGTGGAATGTGGTTCCGTATTTGACAGCTTGTGCAGGGATGAGAGTTCTACTGTTTGCCAAGGAAAGGCTTTTGATGGCTGGGCTTTGTGATGTTGAGCTATTCTAAAAACCAGCATCTGATGTTGGACAACATCAGACTGACTGGAACTGCTTATGACATTTTCTTGGGGCCAAGAAGTCCGGCTTTGATCCATGATTCATGACATTTATTGCAATAGTACTGAATAGTACTGACAACTTGGGAGTTTTGCAAGCCATCAGTGAGCCTTGCGTACAAATTTTCTTTAGGCGGGTTGACAGTCGTGGGCGTTGCCCAGGCTTGAAGTGATGCAGGTTAGAGGTTTTCGGTTGTGACCCAAATCCGTCCCAATGTCACTCCCTACAACTCTCAAAACCCAACAGCTAAGACTCGGTATCACTCGAAATGATGGGCGCAAATTGCCGACCAAGATGAAGAGTTCGAACCTTCTTCACCAGGAAATTGTCCTTGGCCTTTTGCGGGTCTTTCTACCCCACCCCCCCCCCCATAATAGAGTAAAGCGGCGCTGTCCGTATGGCCAATCGGGGTTGAGTTGCATTCGCTGCAGGGTGCGTGAGCTTACTGATCTATAGGCCCGAACGTTGCATCCCCAATCAAGAACGCCGAGTTTTGCCGGAAGTTGGCAAGCACCGGCAGCAGAGGTACCCGACGATGCGCCTGAGAAGTGGCCCCAGACAGCGCGAGACTCAGCGTAGAGCCGAGTTTTGCTGTTGTTTTGCCCTGAGGGAGGCCGAGGCGGGTTGGAGTTGAGGGTATTAGTAGGGTGTGACTTGTGCTCATAAGAGTGTGGAAGTCAGAAACTGAGTTGGTTTACCACTGTTTGCAATGCTGGAGCCTTTAGCTTGACGACTCAGTTGGGGGGTTCAACGCGAACTGTGCATCCGAGGTTGTTTGCAAAGCAGGCTTCAGGGTCAAAGGCTTCAAGAGGGTTTGGCAGACAAGAATGCGTGAACCCCAAAACGTGCACTGAGGCAAACTTTCAGCGAGTCGTTTCAGAGTCCGATGTGGTGGATGATGCAGAGAAGTCGCGGCCTCAGCATTCGGGCGCGAACAACAGTGTGGTGACATCAATTCGACAGCCATTGCATGTGTGGCTCTTATTGGCCCGGCGGCGGCCAAACCCCCAGAGACCTGAGCACCAAACTTTGCGTTCCCTGAACCCCCCAACACTTTCAAGCCCGATACGAGAGACCTCCTTTCTGCCAGCTTCTGCCATGCGCCCTAAGCCGCCATACTATGGACCCTCAGCCCCAAGTATCTAATCCCTGCACCCTCGGGATGCTGCTGCTTCTTTCGTGGGGCAGGTGCTGGACCAACGGCTATGGAACCTGCAAGTACACTGGCCTCAGGTGGGCATCCCGCAAGCGAGAAGTGCCTAACTTTGGGTGGCCGGAGTCGCCGGCTACATAATGAAACAGGGGTTATATTACTGTTATTGGTGAGTGTATATAAGGTTCCTTTTTAATATTGGTGAGAGTATATATCTGGTGTCCTTTTGGGGGTACAAGAAATATACACCCCACTTATCCCCACTTCATATCATGCCTTAGATCCAAACCTAACATCGACATCTGGCAAACAGAAAAACAAAACACTGCAGGACCCAAGACCAACTTCTAGGGTCGGCGTACAACCTTCGGCTAAACCACATTCTGGTGTAGACGTCCGGACTCTAACAGCTCTCTTGATAACCCGTGGCCCTTCAGCGCCCCAGGGAAACCAGCGTACGTAGCGGGTTAGCAGTTCACAAGGTCACCAAGTGTACGCGTGAACTGCTCCTGCGATGTGTGGTTTCACGACTGGTTGCTTCCCTGACCTCACGCCACCCTTTCTCCAACATGTTGCAGCGCGAAGCCATGCCGCTGTCTTCGAGCACTAAACCCCGAAAAACAAACAAAGAAATACGGGCGCATGTGGTCTGCAGAGGGCAGTGAGATGACAAGGTGAAGCCGTCACATACCCATCACACTTATCACTGATCACAGAGTCAACTCACCTAACTTAGTGACAACAAACAAGCATGACAGGATAGTTCGAGGAACACGTGAACACGTGAAAGTTTTAGGCAGCGCGGCAGGGCATTCAAGGCGCTCAGCCAGAGCCCGGTTTTTTCTTTTGCAGTAGAACACCACAAAGATTCAAGGCTAATTAACATCAAACAAACCCTAAATGGGGTCTTTTAACGTCAAAATAAAATGCCCTCAATGCGACGGGGATTTTGAAGAGTAAAACACAGTCTATATCCCCCTTGGGAATTATTCTTTATTTGTGTTTATATAAAACCCAAGAGGATATTAAAAAATGTTATTGTTATAGCAGTGACCTGGCCAAGCCCCTAAACCCGAAACCCTAAACCCTAAACCCTGAAGTCGTCGTCCTCCGCCAGGTCGGATGCACTGGATCTGTCGAAGGGGCCCCCGGAGCCTTTGAGCCTCGAGGACGGCCTCCGCAGTGCTGTAGGTATTAATAAGAAGCCATAATAATGATGATAATAAGTGATAATATTGACATAAGATAAATTAGATAGTTCATTTTCACATTCAATATCTTCTAAACCGGGTTTCGCTTGCGATGGTCGTGGCTGCAGAAGTCTGGGGTTGTAAGTAAACACATCGAGACTTCGAGTGGATGCTCCAGGCTAGCACCAAAGACTAGCTGCGGCCTAGGCTTCTACGAAGAGTGTGTTGAACCTCTGTAATTAGGCGTGCAGGTACGACTTGGGCAGCGCAGTAAAGACCGTGGCATGTGCGAAAGAGCATGAACTGTCTTCAGTTCCCCAAGTCATGCTAGTACTTGTATGTGAATCCTGTGGCAAGGTAAGTCATGCAGGCATACGCAAGCCCGTGTGTAAGCCCGTGTAGCTGCTGTTATGAGAATTCGGCCCAGTCAGATAAGAAGCGCGGCTCTCTTGTGGAATCATAGGCCATCTAGGCACATAGCGATCAGTTGCCAGTTTGTTTTGGGTTCTCATCCAGGATGACTTCAGAGTGCTGAGCCTTAAGCCCATGTTGTGAAGATTTGCCACGATCCAGCGAAAAGCCTGCGGTGCCTCAGGAAGCGGAGTTCCTACAAGTGCCAGAGCTTCGCGAGGGCGAGGCACGTCTTCTTTTCATTTTATATCAATACTATGATTATTATTATTGTTATTATTGTTATTATTGTTATTAGTATTATTAGCATTATTAGAATGATAATGATTAGTATTATTAGTATTAATACTTTCTGGAGAGTGAGAGCTGGCAAGGATCACTATGGTCATCCTAAGGTCCTCTGCGCAAGCTAAAACCTCCAACTCCAAGAATCCAAGATCGTCTTGGTTTTGTGGTTTAGGGTTTAGGGGTTCCGGAGGCAGACAAGCTTGTGGAACTCCAACAGCGCGTGGCCGACCTCCGCGCGCAGCACCACCACCGGGCCTCCCCGGGAGTGGATGGCAGTTCTTAGGGAAATGTGTTTTTAGTTTTTGGGTTCTTTAATTCCTAAGAAACAGCAAAAAACTTGATTGTTGCTAGGGTGCCAAGTTCAGTGTGGATTTGGTGGCTTTTGAGACGGCCTTTTGCTTTTAGCGTTAGAGCTAGCGGCTCCCAAAAAAGTTGAGGTCAGTCATGAATGGTGAGCTTCACTCAAATCAGTACTCTCGGAGTCTTTGGAAGGTGGTCTTTGAGTTGCATGGTTTAGTGGGGTTGGCGGCTGCTGGGTGCAAAGACCTAGCAACATGCGAGAATATGCTTTGTCTTTCCGAGTATGGCTTTGAGGGCCGTCTGCATGTCGCATCGGAGGTGGACCGGTGTACCTTGCTCCGATTTCTCCGAGCTGAGAAAGGGAAGTGGCGCGCTGAGAGCGGGTCCCAAACTCGAGGACCTACACCCATAAACCGATGTATATCAGGTGTGGGTCCACTGTCAGTGCGTGCCGAAATATTTCCATCGCTCGAGCCACGCAGGTGCGAAGCGCAGCACAGGACATCAGTCATTGACACCGTCTTAGCCATGTTACCATCAAGTTCTTCGCTGCTGAATGATCTGCAGGCACCAATCGAAGTCAAGATGGGTGAGGCGTGGCGAGTCCTGTACCCCGGTGGGATCCTGGCAATTGCCACGAATACCATGGTGGAGGTACGGCTCCGGGAACATAACGCGGTGAAGGGTCAGTGGTGGGCAAAGGAACAGCTGCAAGCATCGAGATCCTTCCCCGGCTTCAGTGAAGTGGCAAAGGAAATAGACGAAGCTGAGCGGCGGGCAGTGAATCGTGAGTATGAGCGCAATCAGCGCAAGGAGGCCGCAAAAACGACTCTCAAGAATCGGCTGGCAAGAAGACTGAGGAGGAAAAACGCTGAAGAAACTTTCGCTGCTCACGCACGCTATTTTGCAATTGCCCTCATTCTACTGCTCATATGCGCAGGGATTCCTCCAGCAGACGTGTCAATGGCCTTGGCGTTGACAGCCGCTGCAGCTTTGCTCTTTGTGGTTGTTTGGTATTTTGCTAGTGCTTCGACAGCACAGGCTGACTTCAAGTACGGATCATGGCACGCTCCAGGGTCGTTGATGTTCCAATGCGGCTATGCGCTGGGAAATGTTGCTATCATCTTCATGGGGCTTTACCACACGTTGCTACTTTCAAAATTCCATCGTTCAGGTTCCAGGCTGTACTTCCTCAGTGCTCTCATACTCTGGCCCCTCACGTGTGCCTCCTGCATCTTCTGTGTAGGCTGCAGATCCTGTAGATTTGCTGCGGAGGATGCTGAGGCCCAGAGAGCACTCTCAGAGGAGCAATCACAAGCCAAAGTCCAGGTTCAGGAAGCGAATAAGCGCACGATTGTCTTCCAAGGCTCAGTGCTGCCAGACCGCAGGTGGCCCTGCATTGTTTCCTGGCCGGGGAAGTACGAGGGCGCTTGGGATGAGCTAGTTGCTGCAAGTCGGCGCGGCCAAGTTAGTGCCGGTGTAGTCTTCTTGCCCAAGACGACACCGATGTACGGCAAGCACGACCCCATCCCCCCCGCGGAGCACATTCCGGGAACATGTTGGTGCGATCCCCTCTATGGTGGGGAACAAGAGCACGGGTGTCGGTGGTGGAGCCTGTGGATCAAGAACATTGACGCAGCTCACAGCATCGGTGCACCGCTTCATGTCTATTTCTTCAAAGATGCTGTAGGCAAAGGTAAAATCGAGAGCTTCGACATAGCTGGGCGGGAGAATCGTCGGCGACAGGACATCAACAAGCGTCGCGAAGAGTTCAAGAAGTCCGAGCAGTTCACGTGCCTGCAGATGGAGATGGCGAGGCTTCGAAAGAGCGAGCCCCTTTGGAGGTTTTGGACAGCAAATCGTTTTGATCAATCTTCCCACTACAGCCGAGAGGAAGAACGTTGTTTCCGTGAGTGGCTTCCACGAGAGGAATCCGAAATCTTAAAGATGTCGGAAGGCCTTGGGACCTCTCAAAAGGCTGAAGTTGCATGGCTGAAACGTAAAGGCTACGACTACAAAATGATTGATGTATCCTACTGGCTCGATGCTGAGTTTAAGCCAAACGGTTTGTACAGCCGCCTCACCGTTTCTCACGACAGCCCATCGCAGGCTGGCAACCTCCAGCCAGGAGTTCAACTCATCGGCCATCCGCAGGCTCAATTGCCTGGGCCTGACCGGCCTCCTGGCCTGTGACCCTGTGCAGCTGACAGCTGGGAGGAGAAGAGTCCTCTCTGACAGCAATGTGCTTTCGCGTTCATGATGCACTCAGCAAAGGCTTTCAACTACATGTACAGTTTTTCGCTTGCCCACTCCTTTGGTGTGCAGCCTGTCGGGTTGCTGCTGGTCCTGCACACGGCTTGGAGCTTGTGTTCCGAGTGTGAGGGAGAAGCTGATCCCTCCTGACTCCTGACGAGGTTTGCGTGATGAAACAGCGGCTGCCCTTTGATGAAGTTGAAAGAATTCAGTCTGGGTGAGCTTGTTTGTCGCCCTTCCTCCTGCACCCTACGTACATATATTTATATATGATATCATCAATGCATAATATTCACATGTACATATCTGTTATATAGGTTGGTGGTCTCTTTAATAGGGGCTTTCTGTTAGCTGTTTTATAAGGGGATACATAGGGTTCTTGTTAGGGGTATATGGGGGGGTTATATTAAGGTATATAACAGATAAAGAGACCACCAAGACCACCAGCCTATGAAACATATATACGTAGATATCTGGCTCTTTCGACTGTGGCGCACATCAGCTTCTGCCATTTTTTAACCGGAGGACATCAACGGGTTTAGCAACATGAGCCGCCCTGCGAGACGAGAGTAGTGGGAGACGTCGTTGAATTATCATGATTGCCAAAATGGGGGGGGGGGGGGGTTCCCGAAATTAGGGGGCTACCCTATTGGGGGTCCTTGTCATAAGGGACTCCTACAATTGTGGGGATCTGTTAGGGGGTCCCTTATTGTCGTAAACCCCCCTACAAACAAGGGGTCCTGATTATAAGGGAAACTAAGTAGTCCTGCTTTGGGGGAGTTTCCCTCGTAGGTGCCCCCCAAAGTCCACTGACAGAAGCTGGGCAGAGGGAGCCACAACCAGTGCAGCGCATACTAGCACAGTTCTCAGGGTTTGGGGTTTAGGGTTCAAACACACATGACAAAGTCATTGCGACTCAACGGCACACTGTTTTCTTTGCCGGCCTCGCTTTTGCTGCCGCTGCAACTCCTCACCAGCTTCTACCTTGTCAAAAACTTTGCCGACGACCATATGAAAATTGCTCTCCGCATGTGCTGCCAGGCATATGCTCCTTGCCAGAGAAGGGATCTTCAGAACAAAGAGGAACCCAAGAATGAGAGGGTTTAAGGGTTTAGAGGGTTTAGGGGTTTAGGGGTCAGATCACAAGCCACAAAGTACCGATGCCTGATCTTGGCACTGGGCTCTCCAGGTCCCAAGGCAGCATCTGCAAGGTTTAGGGTGCTAGGGTGCAAGCATCTTTAGTACTCCATGCTGCAATAGTGATTCTTGGTGCCACTGCGTGCACGCCTCAGGGTTCATCGGGCCGAGAAGAAACTCCGCGAAGCCATCGACTGGATGGAGGACTCCGAGCCTCCGAAGCCGAAGCCGTAGCAGCAGCCTTGACCGATTCCCCTTAGGGTTTAGGGTTTAGGGTTTAGGGTTTAGGGTTTAGGGTTTAGGGTTTAGGGTTTAGGGTTTCCAGCAGCTCCTGCTTAGTCAACCTTTCACTCCTTGATAGAACACTCATCCGTTTGGTGTGGTGAACAGAACCGATGCACGCGTACCACAGAATTAGTTGAGTCTGCATGTATATTCACAATGCGAAAGCTCATACCGACTGATGCAAGTGCAGCAAAGCCCGATTCATTCAATAGTTGCTCTTCATGGTCATCCTATTGCCTCATGCTGCCTTGTGTGAGTTCAGCAAATATGACATGATTGTTGGAAGCCGTCAAAGTATAGCTAAGCACATCAGTAGGTCGGTGACATGCCTTCTTCTCAATCCTTAAAACAGAATGTCAGTGAACTTCAAATCCTTTTGCCATTTGTCCTGACAAACGCTTGAGATCGAAGTTCTATGTCAATGTGTACATCGGTTTGGATGGTCTTAAGTAAGCCAAGCGCCCTCGGCAGTTGTGGACAAACATTTTTAATGGAACGTCAGGCAGCACCATTCGAATTCAGAAAGGACGCATGAAGTGGGCCCATGAAAGAGTCTGCGAGTCTGCAACGTACACCCCTGCCGCTTTGCCGCTACACCGAGTGTTTCGAGCAGCAGAATGTGGCTTAGATTGTGGGGGGAGCGTGATTTCACGTGACCCAGAGGAGAGCGCAGTCTGGCATACGGAACAGTGCAGTAGCGTTTGTTCAACACGGCTCCTTTACAGTTACCACAGGAACGTCAAGTGGGTTGCCTCACAAATGCAGTCAGTTGAGGGGGGGAGAGTGGCCTTATTAAACGATAATCAAAACAGTGCAACGAGAAGGCTAGGTTGTGCAGGCTTGAATGGCAATGCTTGTAGCTTCTGCTTAACCAGACTGAAGTGAGAAATCCGGGTAACCTGTGTGCATGCCAGAACGACAGCTGCACCAAAACGTCTGGGTATCAAAACGTGTCATAACCCATATAATCCGAGCATGTACTGAACTGCGAAATCCAATCTTGTGAGCCGATAGTGTACGAAACGAATGGTTTCGCTATGTTGCAATGCTGTTGTACTGCCCCAACTTTGTACGTGCTTTTGGGGGAACAATAACTACCAAACTACGAGTTCGATCGCAATACACAGGGGCTTAACATCAAAAAGTACAAAATAAGCAGGATTCTTCGACTTGCTTTAGTCAATGCCCACAAATGAGTTCTTCCACTGCTTTGAGTTGAGAGTCATTGTTGTCCACAATGCCACATTTCTCCATGAAGCGCCAGAGCGTACAACATAAGTGTCAGCCGTGCGCCGCTTGATGAATATGGTCGCATAGCAGCATGGGGGGCCACACTTCTTGGCAACTTGTGGCATGTGAACTCCTTGTCTTTGTAGCAGCTTTTCGCCCAAACCTAGAACAGTGCCGATACCCAGAGACGCATGAAGTGTACATCGACGTGCCAGAAACATCCTCAGGCCCTGAAGTTGTCCAAGCCCTCAAATCACCAGAAACTCTTGCAGAAAGCGCTGCAAGTTGCAGCCCCACTGCATGACTGTAAATGCCCGAGCCCCTGCACCTTGCACCCGAAGTACCCTGGCTGTTGATGATTTTCAATAATCAATCTGATGACAGAATCCGGCCAGGATGTGTACGTTCTTGGGCACAACGCGGCTGTTGTGATACAACAGACACGGGAACTCTCCAAATCTTGTTAAATCCTGTTTGAGCCCAGAAGTCTGTTGCAAGCCCTAAACGCCCTAAACATCAGGAGAACGATGTGGCGAACGTCTTTAAGACCTGGAACTTGGAGGCTCGCTACAGTTTTTGCCCGGGTTCCCCTTTTTGGAGGTCTTCTCGAAGTCCCAGCTCGTCCCAGGGCTTCCCAACAGGTGTTAAATACATGGTGTGTCGACCCCGAATGCCAAAGCCCGCAATCTGAAATCCTAAAAGCCGTGAGCCAGAACTGTAAAAGGCCTACGAAAAGTCGTTGACTCAGTGGACCTCAGTGAGTGCCGCACTGCATCATGACACAAACCAGGGTCTGAGATTCTGCTTCACACTTGGGGGTCAGTGCTCCCGGAACAGAGGTAACGGAGGGTGCTGTCGCCTTGTCAAACTGGCATGGAACATCACGGATCAACCCGAGCTCCCGACACAGAGGTGGCCACGACGTTCTCTGATAGGATTTCCTTCACGTGCGTTTGCAAACTGCAGGGCGCAGCGGCTTGCCACACGAGCAAGCTGGTATGTTACTTGTAGCCTTTCCTTGCGTCTTCGCCCGAAAAGCCCGAGACCCAAGCCTTTGTCTTGTGTTTCAACCCTGAACCCGGAACCCTAAACACAAAACCTGGAGTCCGGAATCCTTCTCAGGCCAAAATCCCAAACAAAGTAGCGGGGGCTTGCTCAAGGACACCCAAGCCTCCGCTGAATTCCTGTACCCTTTTCCGACGAACAAATCCTCAATACCCTAAACCCTAAACCCCAAACCCCAAACCCTAGCCCAATTTCCCAGGTGCTTGGCTCCTTGGTGGCTGAGTGGAGGCTTCCTGGGCCACGGTCGGCGGGGTGGCCCAGGGTGGGTTGCGCCCGAGCGTTGAGAGTAGTATATGGAAAGCGCGGGATCATGACTGGAGGGTTTTTGGGCTCGGAAACATGGGCCCAGGAATTTCTTTGCAGGCTGCCGGAAGGATTCCAGTCGAGAAAGGTGCTGAACTGCATTGAGGGAGGGGGCGGGGGGAGAAACTTACAAGGGGAAAATTCTAAACACCCAGCCCCCCCCCCCCTCTGCGCGTCCGTGTGAGAGTCTTCCAGGCAAGGTGAGCCGGTGGCCTTGGAACGCCTGGGTGCTCCACTCAGTGCATCAGAAGAGATACTTAGCCTACTATAGACAATCAGCCTACTCTAGACTGGCCCTCAGCATGAAGGTGAGTTTCTGCAGCCAAGAATAGGTGTGGAGTTGCCAGCGGAGCACATCAATCGTGTCCATGCGACGTGACATTTGGAGGGTTTGGAACGCAGCTCCCTGCTGCTGCTTGTTTTCAGCAGACTCCCAAGAAAGACTCCGTGTCAGGGTCTTGGACTTCATGAGTTCAGGCTTCAGCTCTTAAGGATTTGCTTCTGCAAGTCCATTGCATGCCGGACAGGCCGCTGTTCGTGGCCAAAGCTGTGTAATCGCTTGGACTTCGAGGCGGGAAACTTTGCTGATTTTCAGGAGGGCTGAAGAGGCGCCACAGGTCTGCGTCGCTATCAAGCCACTTTGGAACTTTGATAGCCCGAAGAGTTTACAGGTGAGCGGGAGGCAAATGTCCCACAAAACAGGTATGTTGGGGGCTGATGATCGCCCTCTCACACAGGCGAGTTTAACCCAAAGGAGGTTGAGGGCAGACCTCAGGCTAGCCCACAATGGCCAACAGTACCACGCAGCAAACTAAAATGTCTTCAAGCTGCCAAGCTAGGCTTCGGGTCGAGCTTCGGGTTGTGGCCTTCGTTGCATAGTAGTAGACGTGGTCAAAAATGCAGGCGGCACGTGTGTCCCG